ACTCTTCTGCCCTATCCTGGGACTAGGCATGCAGTTTCTGCTTAGGACACCCAGGGAGCTGGAGAGACGGGTCAGTGGTTGAGAACACTGACTGCTCTTCCAGAGGACCTGGATTTGAGTCCCAGCATCCACATGGCAGCTCACAACTGTCTGTAACTCCAGGTCCAGGGGACCTGACACCCATGGCCAAACAACAATGCACATAGAAAATTTGTAATGATTCTTGAAAGGAAGAGTTTTACTTATTAGGGAAGAGTGCAGTCTACACCTGTTATGGTTGGAGAACTGAGTACTGGAAGAAGGTTCTGGTGAAGGTGGGATTAGAAATAGGGAACAGAGGAGGATGGGGGCATAGGAGACTTGGAGAGAAAGGAAGAAGCCAAGGGCAGCTTAGAATCCAACGCTAGCCACTAGCATAATGAGCCTAGCTTAGGGTAGAGGGAAGGTTCCTGTGTGTGTGAGGTTCAGGCTCAGATCATGGACTTGAGGTTCCTCAGTAGGCAAAAGTACCCGTGGAGGATGGTAAGATGCCTGTGGTTAAGCCCAAAGTCTGAAGGGGTGCAAAGTCCACACAAGAGGGCAGAAGACTCGGGGCAGAGATAACAGGCCTCAGGAGGTCCTGAGTGGTATTAGGAGTTAAGTAGACTTGCAAGGAGACTAGGAGTGTTGGAAGCTGCTTGTGAGGGCCCAGTGCTCCTGACGAGGGTATGCAGCTCAGGGCAGATAGGATGATGACGAGTATAGGGTTGTGTAAGGGAAGAGAATGAGGATGGGGAAGAGCAGAATCCTGGGGAACAACGTAGGAAAGTGTGGGGAGGGGGCAGAAGACAGAGGAGCTGTAAGAAACAGGCAGAATGCAGGAGGCATGGAAGGTTGAGAAAATACAGAGGAGGGGCAGTGCTTTGGAAGTGATAGCAGAAGTCTGGAAGGTTGGAAACGCTGGGGGTGTGGACACAGAATGCTAAAGATAGGGTAGTTTGTTTAGGGCATGTGAGGAGGCTGGAAGGAGGGGGGAAGTTTCTGGGGGTCGATTAGGACTCTGGGTTCTAGAAGCAGTCCCAGGATGCTTAGGAATCTGGATACAGGCATGTGTGAGCCCGATGGACTAAGCAGGCCTATGGAAGATAGGAAGAGAAGTCATTTGACTTAGGACTATGTAGCTGACTAGAAGAAAGCTAACTTCTGGTTTGATACATGGAAGGCTTGGGGGAAGAGGGCAAATGGCTGGGGAAGAGGAGAGAAGAAAAAGGACTCAGGTCAGAGGCTAAGGTAAGTTCAAAATCTAGGTATCAGGGTTGTTAAGGAATACCATAGAGGCCCTGCTCAGGACAGGCACATCTGAGTCTCCATGAGAGGACAGAGTAAGTCAGGATTTTGAGAGAGACTCTAATAGCCTAAAGGACGACCAGATGAGCAGAGGTACCTGCAGTGGCAGACAATTGTTTAAGAACTTAGAAGTCTGTGAGGAAGAACAGGCTGTTCACAGGAACTCAAAGGTCTGGGTACAGTTTCTGAGCTCTTCAAGGGTATAGTGCTGTGATTGAGGGCAGGACACCCAACAGGAGGATAAAATGGGTGCGGGTAAGGCATGAGGTTCGAGGGGCACAGAGGGAGAAGAGCGCAGAGGCTGCGGAGGACAATGGAAGGCTAAGGGAAGGGGGTGGTGAGGAGGGCCACGTGTTTGACAGTTGACCAGGACAGGGCAGCAGGAGAGAGGAGGAGCAAGGGGTGAAAGAAGGTGGCGGTGGAGTTCTCAGGTGTTGCCAAGAGACTAGGGGAAGGCAGGATTAGGGTTGCACTAGGACAACAGGACATCATCCTGGGGTTGGGGGAGAGTCAGATGCTTGGCTTCAGAGCCAAAAGCACAGCCAGGTAGGCAGAGAGTTGGGAAGAGCTTTGATGAATGGTGGGACCGCAGGAGAGGACAGAAGGCTAGGGCGGAGGACAGGAATATGTGTAGGTCAGCAGGAGATGTAAGTAATGAAAGTCAAGGAGGTTGAGGATATATGCAGGAAGGTAAGGGGTACGGTGGGAGGTCAGGGTGCTGCAGGAGGCTGGAGAGGAAATGTGGAAGGGAAGACAAATGGGAGGGAGGACAGAAGGCTCCTGGAAAGGTTGGGGCCTGAGAGGGAAGAAGGCTGCAGACTAGTGTCAAAACTTGTGCAATCTGGGACCAGAAAAATGACACAGCAGTTAGGACAATTGTCTGCTCTACAGGGCCCAGGTTCAATTCAACGTCCTCTTCAAAGTCCTGGGAAGCAGACATGTCTTCTTCCGGCCTCCCCTAGGGCCAGGCAAGCACTTTGCTGTCAGAACATTCACACACGCAAACCGCCTCCCACATAGGGTGGAAAGTTCAGATAAACGGAGAAATGTGATAAACAGAACAAACGTGTGGGTGAGGTAATGAGGTGGACGAGGAAGGAGCCACCTGATCTTTAGGGAGATCTGTACCTTGAGGAGGGAATAGGCTGCTCATGGGGAGCTTGCAACCTGCAGAAGGGACAATGTGTGAGAAAGGACCGGCAAAGAAGACAGCAGGTTCTGGAATTGTGGGAGACTAAGGGAGGGCACAAGCCTGGAGAACAGGCTAGGGTGAAGACAACGGTGACAGCAGGCTGGGGAAGAGCGGGCAAGAGGCTGAGAAGTGTAGGAAACGAGAAGCAGTCATGAGAATGGGCAATGAGCTGTCGAAGAGAGCGGGATGACAACAGGGGGCTGTAGAGAACTGCTCTATGACACAAGCTGGGAGCTTGGGGCAGGAAGTTCGGGAAGACTACCGTCAAGATGGTTGAAAGTACTGAAGGAAACTCAGTCGTAGCATGGGACACTAGGGGCTGGAGAGAGTGGAGAAGAAGGTTAGAGGTGGTGTGGAGGACAGGAAGTTGAAGGAAGCTTTGGAAGCTATGGAAGAAGGAAAGCCAAAGGAGGAATGCCAGAGTAGTTAGTGTAGGTTAGGAGGCTGGTGGAAGTCAAAAAGAGGCTCAGAGGGCACAAAGAAGGTTGGAGAAGAGGCAGAGACTACAGGAAGGCAAATGAAAATGAATTTGGGTGAAAGGCTCAATTGGAGGACAAATCTGTTGTGGGGGCTAGATCTGTGGCTGGAGGCTGTGGGAGCAAGCAGGCCTATTGTTGGCTAACAAGGCCCTCAGGAGTTTCAGGGATTCATGGTATAGTGAGAGGACATAAAGCTAGGTAGGACAGCTGGAGGCAGAGGATAACAGAATTGTGGGAAAGGCGGAGGATACTGAGGTGGTGGTCACAAGGTTCAAGGGGCATGTTAGGAGGCTAGTGAATGGCAGAAGTCTGTAAGAGGACCACCGGGTCCTGAATGGAAGGTTGGGGGTGAAGGCTGCAGACCCCAGAAAGTGGGGCTTGGGGGAGGGAGCAGAAGGGTTAGCTTGAGCCCAAAGAGCTGTAGGTGCGAAAGAAGTGAAGGAGGGCAGTAGGTGACAAGGTGAGGAGAACAGTTAGGCTGAGTAAAAGACTCCCAGAGGATGGTAAGTGCTTGGGTGGAGGAGCCTGGGAAGGATGGGAGCAGGAGCCTTGTGGGTGAAACTGGCAGGAGTTTCCTAAAGGAAGCCAGTGGCTGGCAGAGGGCAGACAACGTTGGCAGTATAGGAGCCTGTGGAGGATGCAGGAAGTTGACTAAGGAGAGTAGGAGCCTCAGGGTATGATGTGAGCATGACAGACTGTAGATGATCTCAGAGTAGGACAGGAGTCTCAAACTAATGGTGGGTGCCTGGGGGAGGAAAGAAAGTTGGAGAGAGGCAGAGGGTCATGAGGATTGGTGTGTTAGTACAAGATTATACGGGAGGACAGAAGGCTCTAGGGAGGAAGGAAAACTGGGTTCAGGAGAGGTGGCTCTGCTAGGTGTTAGGAGTTGAAGGATTACGAATGCCTTTCAGGAATTATGAAGGTTAAAATGCAGGGATCTGGCACCATTCTGGGGAAACACTAGGAGTGTGTTTCGCATGGCAGTAGACACTGGGATTTGGAGAACCCATGGCAGGGTATAAGGCTCAGGAGAAGTGCAAATGCTGGGATGGGGGCAGTAGTTAAAGGAACAATAAGAGGCCTGGAAGCAGGTCCAGGGCGAGGTAATATGGAGAGGGTTGTGGGCTTAGGAGGAATGCAGGGTTTACCTGGGGAGGGCAGGAGACTCACAGTAAGATGAACTATGATGGAGGGTAGGTTTCAAGAGAGAAAAGGAAGCTGGGGAAAGATGTCAGAATGGCTAGAAAGGCAGGGTCTCACCAGAGGGTAAGAGTGCAGGCTAGGCAGACAGGCAGGGCAAGGCAGAGAAGTAGGATGTGGGGGGAAAAGCATGTAGGAGAGCAGACGTTGACAGTAGTAGCAAGGGGGAGGGCAGATGTCTGGAGAGTAGCAGGGAAGTAGCGTGTTAAGTAGGGCAGGAAGTTCAGGACGTGATTCTGGAGATGGGGTGAGGAGGCTGCATAGGAGGGCAAGGGGTCATAGGAGGATAGGCTCCTGGGGCACGGAGTAGGAGGAAATGGAAGAAGCCAGAGACTGGGAGTAAAGGTTGAAGGCCTTGTAGAAAGAAGAATGGCTGTCATGAGTGAGTATAAGGCCACAGTCTCAGGGGAAGCCAGTGAAGAAATGGATATGGAAAGAGGGTCCATTATTTCCCAAATAGGATGCTTCCAGAGGGAATCAGAGTTATGTCCACCCTGGATTTAGGGGTTCAAGTGAATGAGAGCTCCCCAGGGGTCAGAGCACCTTGATGACAAAAACACTTCCAGCAGCCCTGGAGATGGGCCTATGTGCCATCTGCCAGCACAGTCATACACCCGGCCCCTGAGCTCCACCATCTCGGGCCCAATCATCCCATCAGGACGCTGACATCGACCCCTCTGCAGGATCACAGGCCCCCCAAACCTGAGGGTCAGACTGATGTTTTGTGCGAAGAGTCAATTATGTGCTGGGGAGCTGAGACATTCATCTCCTGGGACTGGATGGTCAGCCATGGGCAAACACTATTGCTGCTCGAAACATTCATTTATTCAAATTAGTCATGTGAACTCTGTCCGTCTTTCCTGTCGTTGGGCCACGGGCAGATAATAACTGTCACAAACTCAGTCGGTGTGGGAGGCGGGAAGCGCTGTGGGCAGAGGAACAACACAGGCCCCATGAACAGACTCCAAAGGGACCCCGTGCAGCGCTGGCTGGGGCGCCTCCAGTCACATGCTTTGTCCTACATGTTCTTTATGGGACAAACCAGCCCGAGGCGCAGCGGAGGGCCCACTACAGGTTGCAGAAGTCTGGAGATTTCAGCTCAGGTCATACGCTGGTATTGCTGCCATCAAGAGGCATCTTGAGAGTGTGTTCTGATGGATAGAGAGCCCGCTCCGTGGAGGTGGATCTAAGCAGTATAGTGGCCAGAAAGTTCACAAACCCTTTCCTCTAAAGTTCCTAACATAAGCGTTTTCATTAAGTGAGGCCCTGTACTTCTAGAAACGACTTGAAGTAGGGTCCTCTTCAGACAATAGAACCGGTGTCCTGGAGATCGCACTCCAGTTGTAGTTGGGCCGGATGCTTTGCAAGATCACCGCGCGTCGGGGTCATGGAGATCGCCCTCCAGTTGTAGTTGGGCCGGATGCTTTGCACGATCACCACACTGACAACATGGCCCACGAGAGGGGTGTAGCCCTCGGGGAGTTTCAGTGATTCCAAGGTGAAAAAGATGGTATGATCCAGCACTCCTTTCCCTTTGTGCACATGCGTTACAAGGACCTGTCAAGACACAGTGGCCAACCTGAATCCCTGGACAGCCTCCGTCCCTCCACACCCTGGCTGTAAACACCAGCCCTGTCACCTGGCCCTGGCCTGCCCATTACACTGCCAAACCTGGGGCGCCGTGTCACCCACTCCCTTGCCCAGATCCAACCTTGGAGGGGTGAGCCCACAAAGTTATCTGCCCAAAAGGGCAGAGATATGAAGGGCAGGTGGACTATTTAAGGAAAAGAAAAGTATTCTCTCTCTTTTCTCTGGAAGCCTGCCACGTTTCTGCCCCCCCCCAGCTTCCGAGTAAGCTCTTTCTCTGGTAAATAAATATATTATATTCCATATCACATTGACCTCCCATCACACAACCTGACACCAATTAAAGAGGAGACTCTCGTGGTGGCTCTGTCCAGCTGAGGAGAGGCCATGTCCGAAGTATTAGTCATCAGTGGTCATTAGCCCCAGGGTTGATGTGGACAGACCAAGGATAGAAACTAAAGCAGCATGAAGTGGACTATTCCCTCCCCCACCCAAGCACTCGCCAAGCTCGGTATTTCATCTGAACCTGTATGGAGACTCGTGTTCAGGCCAGCTGAATCGCCACCGCAGTCCCAGCCCCATTCATAGTCACTTTCCTCACAGCGGCCTCGGGACTGCTCATGTTTCTCCCCGTTCTGTGGGGAATAGTCCCTGGGGTAAGCACTGACACTCAGAATGGCATGTCCATGTTCCCTGTTCTCTTCTCGTTACTTCTTTGCAGTCCTACCATTGAAATGAGTAGGTAGAGGAGATATCTTCCACATGTTCATGTTCCCCAGCACACCCAGCAGATAGCTAGTCACAAACACCACCAAAGGAGGCTTGCAAACAAGCCAACAATATGGAAAAGCAATTACCTCCTGTAGATACCGGCGCAATGTGGCCTTCAGTGAGTGCACTAGGATACTTGGCAATCCTTTCCTGGGAGAATACTCAATATCCAGCCAGTCCCCTTCATAAGGTGTAAAACCTAAGATAGCTAAGAGAAAATGGAGATTAAAATTCTGCCAGGGACCTCCAGTCTCCTCTTTAGAAGGTTCTGCATAAAAGCGATTACATGTGAGTTTTGGTCAAGTAAAATTTCACTGGTTACACTGACTTGTGACACCACGATCAAGTGAACATTAGGTGTAAAGTGCAGATGGCCTATAAATCTTCCAGACAGAATGCAAATTTTAATTACTGTTTGTTTGTTTGGTTGCTTTTCCTCTCTGTAGTCCCAGCGGTCCTGGAACACCCTTTGTATGCCAGGCCTTGAACTCACAGAGTTCCGCCTGCCTCTGCTTCAGAAGTGCTGGCATTAAAGGCGTGCGCCACCACCACCAGGCTCAGAAATTTGATAACATTTAGACATTGGTTTTGCTCCGCTCCCTTAGCCCAGTCAAGTGGGTAAATGGAAAATGGCATCACAGCCCATTTCTTTGGGAACACTGGACGATTTACTGCATTAACTGGTCACATCCAGAGTCCTCTTTCTGACAGGAGCTCATGTATTCCAGACTGTCTTCAAACTAAGTAATCCTCTCTCCCTTTTGCCATCTCTCCTTTGCTCCCTCATTCTCCATGTATCCTCCTCCCCCTCAGCTTTCTGTCCCCAGTGCCTCTCTCTCCTTCCCCTCTCCTTCCCACTGTCTCCTGTGAGCTCCTCTCTCTCTCTCTCTCTCTCTCTCTCTCTCTCTCTCTCTCTCTCTCTCTCTCTCCTTCCCCTCTCCTTCCCACTGTCTCCTTTGAGCTTCTCTCCTTTCTCTCTCTCTCCTTTCTCTCTCTCTCCTTTCTCTCTCTCTCTTTCTCTCTCTCTCCTTCCTCTCTCTCACTCCTTGTCTCCCCCTGCAATCTCTTCTTCCCTCTATGTCCCCCCTTGGTTTCCATCTCCCTCCCCTCCCCTATCTCTCACTCTCCATCCCTCCTCCGTCCCTCTGTCCCTCCCTCCCTCCTTCCTCCCTCCCTCCTCTCTCCCTCCTTCCTCCGTCCCTCCTTCCTCCGTCCCTCCTTCCTCCCTCCCTCCTTCCTCTCTCCCTCCTTCCTCCCTCCCTCCTTCCTCCCTCCCTCCTTCCTCTCTCCCTCCTTCCTCCCTCCCTGCTTCCTCCCTCCGTCCTTCCTCTCTCCCTCCTTTCCTCCCTCCCTTCTTCCTCCCTCCCTCCTTCCTTCCTCCCTCCCTCCCTCCCTCCCTGACACAGTCTGTCTTCCTTTTTCTCCCTCTCTCTTTCCCAGCTGTCCCTCTTGCTTTCCCTGTGTCCCTTTCTCCTCCTTAGACATCTCCCTTCCCCTCTCCCCTCCAGCTCTCACCCTCAATCTCCCTACTCGCTCTCCCTCCCTCAGCTCTCTCCCACCCCTTCTGTTTGTGGCTCCATCCTGCCCTCTCTCTTCCTCCTTGTGACTGTCTCTATTTCTCTCTTGTCCTCTTCTCACCCACTGTGTGGTCTTCTGAGTTCACTTCTCCCTTCCTCTCCCTTCCTCTCCCTTCCTGTCCGTTTTCATCACTTCCTCCCTGCAAGACTCTCCCTCCCACCTCCTCCCTTCTTCCTAACACCCCTCTCCCTCTCAGGTATTCTCCATATTCCTCTCTTCCTCCCTTCATCCGCTCCTCTTTCTACATCTCCTTCCTCCCTCCCTCCCTCCCTCCCTGTCTCACTGCTTAGCTCCATCTGCCCTCTGTCCATTTCTTTCCCTTAATCCAGGTTCTCTGTCCCTTCCTCTCTTTCCAGTCCATCCATGCCTGTCTGTCCCCTTCCTTCCTCTCTCTTTCCTCCTCTCTCACTTCTCTGTCCATCTCCTGCTCTCTGGCTCTACCTGTGTCTCCCTCTCTCATCCCATCTCTCCTGCTCTCAAGATCCTTATTTTCTAGCCTCTCTCATCCCCAGGCACTCTTCTTCTCCCTTCCTCTCCGTCTCTCCATTTCTCACTCTTTTCCCTTTCTCCCCTCTGTCCTGTCCTGTCCCCCTTCTCCCTCCCATGATCTCTCCCCTTCTTCCCCGACTTCCCCGTGAGTTTCTCTCCACCTCTCCCCTGTATACCTCTTGCCCTCCCCCTGTCTATTTGTCTCCTTCCTTCTCTGCTTCCCTCTTTTCTCTCCACCCCTTACTTCCCCATTTCTCTTTCCCTGTGTCTCACTCACTCCCTATCTCTCCCCTCTCCTTTCCCTCTGCTCCAATCCCCTTCTCCCTCACTTCTCCAACCATCTCTCTCTATCTCTCTACCCATTCTCCCTCCCCTTTCTGTCTCTTCCTCCCCCTTTCCCTCTATCACCCTGCTCCATTCCCTCTCTCCAGTCATCTCTCCCATCTCCCTCTCTCTACACGTCCCTCCCTATCCCCTCTCTCCTTCCCTCTCTCTTCCTGGCCTGCCCCCTCAGTCCTCTCTAGAGATGCCTCTTGCAATGTCCTTCTCTAATCTTCTCTCTCCTCTCCCTTTCTCCTGTTTCATTCTCCCTCCTCCTCTCTTGCGTTCTTCCCACTGCTATTGTATCGCCCACCCTATCTGTCTCTGTGTCTCTCTGCGTCTCCCCATCCACATATACATAGGGGTGTTAGGACAAGACTCAGGTTTTCTGCCACAGAAGTACATGCTCTTGACCATCTGCTCCATCTCTCTGGCCACAGCACAGTTTAGTGTTTTGAAAAATACTTTCTCTGTGGCTCTCTAAAACCTGTAACTCCAGCTCCAGGAGATCTAACACTCTCTTCCGAGCTCTATAGGCAAATGTACTCACATGCACAGACCAACACACACACACACACACACACACACACACACACACTCACTCAAAGATAAGTAAACATTAAAGACTGTAACGATTTGTATGCATTCCTAATAATTTTGCTATCAGAGTAGTCACATGAATTAAAAAATTTGTCCACATTTCACTGTCTGCATTCAGCTAATGAGCACCCAGTTAATGATAGTGTGATGTTTCCAAACATTCCCTGTTCATGCCCGTATTGTACTTTACTTTCAGTGCCCAAGAAACATCAGAAACAACCAGAGCCCCCGAATAATGCTGGGTGTGCTGCAGCCAAACCGATGTCAGCACTAAAACCTCTGAATGGGATATGAGACAAGCCTTTAAAATGTAAATGAACCTTTAGAAATGCTGTCCAGGTAGAAGTAGTACTCATCTGCGATGTAGATGAAATCTTTCTTCACCTGAGAAACACACACGGAAATATCACGGATCTTCGAACCTGGTTTTCTGGGCTTATCATCTTCATAAATGAAACATACCTACAAGATGGGGAAGCAGCAATGAAAATGATCAAAATCAAAACGGAATCACATGTGTCTGTAACACGGCCTGTGAAAGGGCTGAGCTAGGATAGGTCCTGGGAGAATCAACCGTTCCAGATTTAAGACATTCTCCTTTGCTGCAAACAGCTTGGCTCGCTGGGAAATCTTTCTACACTGGGCTCTTTCCAGCGGTCACGGCCAATTCCATGGTTGTTTCCCTCAAACTGACTTCCCTTGAGGAGGGAAACACCAGGCACTGGTCTATGCACTGCCGCCACTGTTAGTCCCAAGGGAACTGCACTACAGACCTGTCTGGGCCCAGATGCGACACAACTTCATAGCCATAGCGCCCAGTGAACCTACCCAGAAGCCTCAAGTCCGGGACCCATTGTCCCAAATCCCATTCCCGTAACAGAGGGACAAGACAGATTGAGTTGTTTGTGAGGACCGTAGAGGCAGACGTTCAATACAATAGAGGCACGGGGCAAGGTGGGGGTTCCCCACTTTGTGGGAAGGGACAAACACTGAGAAATGCTTCCTCCTTCTGTGTGTGCACATAGTCAAATCCTGTCTTGCTCAATGTTCAGGATCAACTAAACTCTGATAGGAAACAGGACATGGGTGAATTAGGAATTAGCGTAAGACTCTCGGTGTATTCTGATTGAACGTGTGGACAAGAAGAGCTATACATACATGTCACATGAAGCCCGAAAGTCAAAAAGGGTCAAAAGGTGGTGATGTGGCAATGACCCATGAAGCCTTCACATGTCCCTTTTCTTAAGAGTCCCTATCTGCTTGCTATGCAAACAACAGCAATGCTCCTGGATGATCGGTGGCTGTCAGAAGATAAACATGAATGCATTTTCCTGAAAACTTCCACCAGCTCCCAAGAAAATTCCAGGCTGCTTTTCCCTCCTAGGATTTGCAAGGCTTTGGGTGTTCAGAGCCCCTCATCATAGATACTGCAAACAAGGGCAGCCTGGTGCAAGGGGTCGATGAGGGCAGCCAAGATAGCAGACAGTTTCATTCAGTCTCTTCTCTCTGCTATAGTTCATGACTCTATAAAGTGAGAACACATGGATCTCACACCCCAAATGGGAGAACGCAGTGGACTGGCAGTGTCACCTCAGTGAGTGCTTTCTGAAAGATGGACACACGTCTTTTGAGATAGCAATTCCACTCTGGTGAATGCATCCTTGAAAACACACGTTTTGCCTGAGAAACAGTTGCAAGACTGTGTTGTGTCTACTGCTTATCACTGTTGATCCTTCCGTTTGAACACTGGGACAACACCGGACCTTACAGTGCACAACTAGGAACTCAGGGGTGGGTATGGTGGCATATCCATCAAGTTCCACACAATGAGGGAGGAGGATTCCAGGATATGAGGACACCCGGGCAGTAGAGTGGGACACACCACCACCACCCTGTGTTTGCTGGAGCTCTCTCTCCCCCCTTCCCCTCTCCCCCTTCCCTTTCTCCCTCCTCCTTTCCCTCTCCCTCGAGGCATCAATACTCCCCACAAACACACATAAGAGGAGAGGCAAAGAGGACCTACAGCTACAGGGGACTTTGCATTTCATGATAAGCACCTTAAGAGCACTGTGGAGGTTAGTTTAGGTTAGCTAACCTAAAGGGCAATAGCAAGGTTGAAAGAGTCTTCCCACACATCTGCAAAGCTTACTTGAGTTGCTTTCAACTGAAGGGACAGTGGGTCTTCCTCCACAAATGCGAGGACTTCATCTCCAGCTCGAAGAGGCATATGGCCGATCACAACATCAGAGCTGAAGAAGACACAGTTTTCGATCCAGCCGCATTCACTGTCACAGCTTGTCACGGTAGCTTTCACAATCTTGGTGTTGGGATCACCTGCGAATTGGGGACACGGCAGATGCCAGGAATTAATCTTAGAAGCAAAAACCCACTCTGGTGAATCCTCCCCCAAGATGATATGGTACACAAGTGTGTCCTTCTGCGAATGGGATGCTTCTGGTTTGAGGAACCCATGCAAGGGTCTGGAAGCATGATGGGGACCTCTCTGATTCTGCAAACAGAATGTCCAGGTTCAATCCCTGGTTTTTCCATGCTCTGCACAGGCTGACCCTGTTCAAGAGTACCAGCTGGGAGCCAGATAGCCTCGGCTGTAAGCACAGTGTCCTCCAACTATGGTCTGTGTAACCCTAGCACATTTCTTAACCTTTCTGTCCATGGGACAATATTATGTCTCTTGGTTTCTGTTGTGCACATTAACTGACACATGTCAAACCCCTACAACTGGGAGTGTCTTGTACACCTTAGACGTCAAGCTCTGTGGGTGGGCATTCTTTCCAGGACCACAATTACTGTCAAGTGTTCTCTACTAAGTCACTACAGTGAGAGACATGCCCGGAACTCTGTCATGATGCAGCTTCGGGTGGCATCGCACTTCTGGCCCTCCTGCCTCCACACTCAAATGGTGGTAGGATCAGCATGGTAAGACTGGGGCTTCTCCTAAAGAGTTGCTCACGAATATGAACCATGCGCTTGGCACATAGAAACTCCAGACACAAGTTGGAATGACTTCAGGAAACCTTCTTACACTGCCCTAGTCCCTCCAGCCCCCCACAACCCTTCACCCATTCTGCTTGAGCACACAGTTAAAGTGAGATTCGACTTACAAGGGGCTTTAAATCATGCCCCTGACCTCCCACGCTTGGCCCCGACTCCCTTCTTGCTCAAGCACCAACTGGGATGGGAAGTAAGACTGCATTCAAATGTGGGGCCTTCCCTGATCCAGGAAGGACAAGAAAGGCTCTCAAGGGCCTTTTGTGTCCCAGCTCCTGGGAATTGATCAGTAGTTTCCCCACATTGGTCCACCAAGAGAATTTGGTACAGGGTTCAAAGTTCACGCAGCTCAAGAGTACCTGGGGACACTCTCCCACTCAACAGCCACTGAGGACAGCTGCAGGCCCCTACTGATCCTCTCTCTCTCTCTCTCCATCTCTCTCTCTCTCTCTCTCTCTCTCTCTCTCTCTCTCTCTCTCTCTCTCTCTCTCTCTCTCTCTCTCTCTCTCCACCCACACAGGCACACACACTTAGCCTCCCCTCCTTCCCCTCCATCCCCTCCCTCCACCCACCCACACAGGCACACACACTTAGCATCCTGCAGGGAAGGCTAGGACACTGAGTGCTAGAAAGTACCTTCCTCGTGAAGCTGGTTTCTTACAATAGCTTCAGTCTTCTGCAGAAAGAAGTATACTACATTGCGCAGCACCCTGTATAACCTGTGGTAACCGCAGTCGGACCAGCCTCTGCGATAGCAGCATACAGGCCAGGACGGCAGGATCCCCATGGTGTCACCTCCTCATTCTCTTCCCCACTCCTAGAAGATGATACCAGATGGGTACTGGGCAGCCCTCAGGACAGCTGGGCTCATTCTACCACCCCAGCAGCTAGCTCAGTGGGAGTCTGGTCCACAGGCTCTGCTGAGAGGCTGGTAACCAGAGGTTATTGTGAGCACTGCGTGACCTCACAAAGCCCCTGTGGCCAATGGCAGATGCTGAGAGGAGAAGTGTGGATCCTCTGTTGGCTAGTTATAAACCTTACCATAGGACGGTAATGGAAATGCATTGCCCCGGGAACGCTGGGCCGTTCTCAGAAAGGTTGGAACGATGTTACTGCAATGTGTCCTGGGAAGACTAGAGCTTATGGCAGAAAGGTGTCTCAAGGCTGTCCAGCCTTGGGTTCCTGGTCCTCCAGGAAGTGTCAGGTGTGGGCTCCCTCATGTGGCATGGGTCTCAAGTTGGATTAGTCATAGGCTGACCACTCCCAGAAGTTCTGAGATACCTTTACCCCAGTACATTTTGCCAGCAGGGCAAATGGTCTGTCAAAGTCGCTGTGGCTAGATTGGTGTCCCAATCCCTCCATTGGAAACCTTGCTTGGCTACAGAAGATGGCCAGTTCAGGTTTCATAGCCTCCACCACTAGGACACTTCCCTAGGATCACCCTGGTAGATTCCCAGGATTCTCCATTCTATTAGGTTTCTACTCACCCCTGACACGCCCCCCAGTGCCAGTTGTCTCTCCCAGTCCTGCCACCCTTCACCCCTTCAGCTGGTCCCTCCTGCCCCTATGCCCATGTACCCCCTGGCACTCAGAAAAAATCTATTCTGTTTACCCTTCCTGGGAGTTCCATGCTTCTCCCCAAGCCTTTCTTGTTATTTGGCCTCTCTGGGTCTTTGGATGGTAGCAAGATCATCCTTTGCAGCTAATATCAAATAGCTGAGAAACACTTGAAGAAACTTCAACATCCTTAGCCATCAAGGAAATGCGAAATCAAAATGACAGTGAGATTCCATCTTACACCTGTCAGGATAACTCAGATGAAAGACACAAGGAGCAGCTCATGCTGGAGAGGATGTGGAACAAGGGGAACACTCCTCCTCTGCTGGTGGGAGTGCAAACTCTGGAAACCACTCAGAAAAACGGGGAATCAGTCTACCACAGGACCCAGCTATACTGCTCTTGGGCATAGACCCTAAGGAAGCTCAGTCATACCTCAAGAATATTTGCTCAACCATGCTCATAGCAGCATTATTTGTAATAGCCAGAACCTGGAAGGAACCTAGATGTTCCTCAAGGAAAGAACACAGAAAGAAAATGTAGTACATTTATTTACACAACTGAGCATTCCTTAGGTCTTTAAAGCAATGACATCATGAAATTTGCAGGCAAATGGATGGAACTAGAAAAAAAAAACACCCTGAGTGAGGTATGCCAGACCGAAAAACTCAAACACGGTATGTACTCACTCATAAGTGAATATCAAGTGAAAGGGAAAGGATAATCTTATTCTCCGTCTTAATGAAGCCAGTGTCTGGAATTTAAAGGCAGCCTCCCCTTCATGTATCACTCTCCGTGTGTTACATTTTCTACGCTCTAATGCCCTGCCTTCCCCCACGAGGCTCAGTCATGACTTAAGTCCTGTTGTGATGATAAACCTCAGACCTGAAGGTATTTTTGTGTCACCTTTGCTTTTTGAGGACACCCACCACTATGGGCATTGTACTTCTTTGTGTCACCCTATGGATCAGGTAGACTTTCCTTGGGCTACAAGAAAACTAAGCCACAGGGCAAAGACCATTGACTGTTTTGTTTACTAATTTAAAGTTGGGGCTGAGTCTGAGGCCCACAGCGACTTGCCACAGGGACGAGTAAAGGTACTGTGCACATCGGATTTCTTGCATACTGAAGCGAACAGTGAATGAGTGACAGCAAAGAGGACTAGGGGCTTCTCTGATAATGTGGGACTGGTTTCCATCACAGGAACTCTAGCTCAAACAGCGGGTGTTGACCATGGCCCAGATGAGCCCTACTCTAGGACCCCTGTCCCAGGCATCTCACAGGGCTCTGAAGTGAGATCCTTCCAGGAGCCACACCCCTTCACGAACACTACCTTGCCAGGCTCTGACTTATTCACATGAACCCCACTACTGCTGCAGCCACCACCACAGACACTGTTGAACACTCTCTAACCACTCAGTCACCGGCCCCTCGGTATGCTGAGTGAACATTGGATTTCATTTGGAGAGCCTAGGATAGAGACAAATATGACTGACAGAAAGAAAACTCAATGAAATGACTGCTACACTTGTAGCGTGAAGCCTAGTGTAACCATCACCAGAGAGGCTTCATCCAGGAGCTGATGGGAACAGATGCAGACACCCACAGCCAGACAACAGGCAGAGCTCCAAAATGCCGTGGAAGAGGGAGAGGAAGGATTGTAGGAGCCAGAGGGGTCAAGGACACCACAAGGAACTGCCCCACAGAATCAACTGACCTGGCCTCCCAGGGGCTCCCATAGACTGAACTGACTGCCAGGGAGCCTGCATGGATCTGACATGGGCCCTCTGCATATATATTATGGTTCTGTAGCTTGGTGTTCTTGTGAGACTTCTAACAGTGGGAGCAGGGGCTGTCTCTGACTCCTTTGCCTGCTTTTGGGACCCTTTCCTCCTAATGGGTTGCCTTATCCAGGCTTCATATGAAGGGAATGTGCCTGGTCTTGCTGTAATTTGATATGCCACCTTTGGTTGATGTCCCTGGGAGGGCTGCCCTTTTCTGAAAGGAAACAGAAAGGAGGGGTGGATCTGGGCCAGAGGAGCTGGAGGAACTGGGAGGAGAGGACAGAGGAGAAACTGCCTTCAGGATGTAAAATGTGAGAGAAAAATAACTAAACAAGAAAAAAAAGAGAGAGAGAGACTATGCTGAACACGGCGGTGAATGCCTTTCATTCCAGCATGCCGGAAGGCCAGAACAGGCAATTCTCTGTGAGTTTGAGGCCAGTGTGGTCTATGTACTGAATTCCAGGCCAGTCAAGACTATCTAGAGAGACACTGTCTCGAGAAGCAGGAGAAAAGACAGGAAATTAGCAGGAACCCGGAAGGGTGAGAGAGATGGCAGGGGAGGTGGGTGGCCCGAGGAGTCCTTCATAGAGCAACCTTCATCTCCAGACAGAATCCACTAACGGTCTCCTGGGGGACGTTGCTGAACCCAGTGTCAGAGAGGGAGGAGTGATGAGCAAAGGGGTCAAGACTTGGCTTGTTTAACCCACAGAGACAGCTGACCAAAACAAAGGGGAGCCCTTGGATCCCAGACTGATGGCTGACAGGCCAGTTTGGGACTGATCCCGACCCCCTGAATGTGGTGTCAGTGAGGAGGACTCGGGTAGTAGATCAGTATTTATCCGTGGCATACAAATGGACTTTGAGTGCCCATCCCACAATGAGAGATGCACTCTCTGCCTAGACTTTTGGGGGAGGGCCTAGGCCCTGCCCTGGATGAAATGACAGACTCTGGAGATCCAGCATGGAGGGCCTCACCCTCCCTGGGGAGCAGAGGGGGCATGGGGTGAGGGGTTGGGTGGGTTAGTAGGGGAGTGGAGGAGGGGAGGGAGACAGAGCTGGTTTTGAATCTGAGGCAAACTTGTTGATATTTTTAAATATCCTTGGGAGTTTCACATCATGCTCCCCAATTCCACTCACTTCAAAGATCCTACCCCCTGCATCAGCAACCCACAAAAAAACTACAAAAAGGTAAATCCAAACCAAACCAAAACAAGGAAACAAACAAAAATAAAAGACAAAAGACCAAAAATAAAACAGCAACAACATGAAACCCTCTTACACCCTCCATCTTCCCGCCTCTCCTAAGCCTCTTCACTTGTCCTGCTGGCACTGGGAACTGAGGTAGGCCACACAGTATGTCCTCTTGTCCTGTCAGCTTTCCTAGTGCATGTTCATTGCAGTGAGTCACTGGTGGCACTCAAAGCCTCTGTCTCTGGTACCCCATCATCACTGGACCCTCACCAAAACTCCTCTTGGCTATGCTGTGGCTGCCCTGAGTCCTGGAGATATTGCTGTTATCATTCCACAGGACGAGTCCCTTCACGAGTTCCAGCAGGGCCTAGATGGGGTAGATATTAGGGTGGGCCAACCCCAGGGCCTGCTGTGGGCCTGTGTGGTAGTTGAGCTGGTCAGTCCAGGCCATCTGGCCACCCTCCTCCCTGTTTCATCAAGATCAGCTCTCCCCCACAGGTGGTTAGGGAAGGGGCCATCTCTCCTGAGTGGGGAGGGGCAGCTCTCCCATGAGGGCTAGAGCCTGCCCTCTTACTCCAGTGTCCAGGCAGGTGCAGGGCGAGCTATCCCAGGGCCAGAGAAGGACAGAGCTGGCTCAGCATGGCCCTCTGATACTATCTCACCTGGTTCCCATGGCCCCCTGAGGTGACATGGGCTATAGATAGTAACACAAAGCCCAGCTGCAGCTGGACCACAGACCCAGACATGGCCCTCAGCAAAATTTGGGCTCAGATGACATCCTGGCTCCAGGTGGAAATACAGGCTGCTCAGATCAGCATGGCTCTGCTGGCTCCACCCCCCTGCCCCCACTACCACACAGGCACCAACAGAGCCACAGGTTTTCACCCTGACCCTGGGCTCCCCTGCAACCTTTGTTGACAACAGAGACCCCAGCTATGGTGAGACTGCAGACCCAGACATAGTCCTTAGCAGCATCTGGGTCTGGATGTTACCATGGTCCCAGGTGGCAGTGAGGTTCACTGAGGTCAGGACGGCCCTGGGTGGCAATACAGTTCGCCGAGATCAGTGTGACTCCCATGGCAGAACAGTCGTTGAACTACTGTGTGGCCAGTGGTGGCAGCCCCAGACACTAGGCACCCTTGGGGCCTTTTGTGGCAACATGGAACATATTGTTTGTTAACACTGTGGCAGGGAGAGTTGCAGGGGGTGTGACCTCACTTAGGCTATGGGACCAGGCTGAAAAGGGGAGGTCCGTGTTCTAACACAAGGCCCCAGGGCATCTTTCACCAGTAATGGCTAACCATTAAAACCAGGAGGTCACTCTAGTCATCTCATCTGAATGGCCAGCACACACACTATCTGAACACCCTCCCTTTTGACTTCTCCTCT